CTACAGTTGGCCCTTCTGGTCGCACATTTCTACTCTACCTGTTGCATGCGATGATCGGAGGAGCCGCTGGTCTTGAGGGCCTCCTCTCCAATCGCCAGTAGTCTGCGGCAACAGTGAGGCGGTCTCAACTGGTATACAATCGAGTGCTCAAGGGCGTAAGGAGGCCTCACAAAGATCCAAAAGAAAAATTAGGGCCAGCCACCAGCCGAAAGTAGCGAAGGACAGTATGACCGAATAGAATTGGAGGGAAAATAAGCTTGTCGAGGAAGCACAAAACCGGCAGCGTTGCTTCATGGTGAAATTGTGAGGCAACGATGAGAGTTCAGAGGAGCACAAAATCATACAAGGTGACGGGAAAATGGTGACGGTACAGAGTGCTTGCAGAGGTGTAGCAGCTAAGGGGAGAAACAGCACGCCAACTACCAAGTGCAGAGCACCATCGTTGAAGCCGCAGTAGCCCTGTGTTGAGTAAAAGTTGCAAAAGGCCACCAAAGCAAAGCAGCACTGCCCCAGGGTATTGAGATACGCACTTCTTGCATTCATTTGCCAAGTCCTGTACTTGAGAAGACTGTGGTGCTGAACACCAACCACAATGAGCACCTGGAGGAGAGAATGGCATCAACTACCTAGTGCACCAACTATCTAGCGCAGCTGAGACTGGGGAAGCTAGCCGCGCATCGTGCAAAGCCTCTCAAGACAATTCGAGCTTACAGTGCTGCTGCAGTAACTCGCGGAGCTGCAGGGCGCTGACGAGCGCCAAGTCAACATCCATCGTGGCCCACCGTTGCAGCCGGTCCCTCCCCCTTCGCTTGGCCCGTTCCCCGAATCCTCTGGCTCCACTTCTTCATTACTTGAAGCTTTTTGTGCTTTCTAGTCCCCAAAAGTGCTGCGGTTGGTCAAAATATTAGGTAAGCTGCGAGTGCTGGGCAGACTCACCCAGAAGACCACGAGACCCGCAATCCGGTGGCACTGGTATGGACAGGCAGTATGCTCCACGTAGAACGTGTATATATGCACTCCAATGGTAAAGTAGCACGTAAAATTGAAGGGGAAAAACGAGATGAGCACCAGGAAGCTTCAGTAGGCCCTCCCGCGATAGAGAAGGGGGGCCCTTTGTCGTAGCTTATGACGAATGCGGCTTTGAAGCCTTGTTCGCAACTGCATTTTACTCTTTAATTTAAACATGATAATACGAATAAGACGGCATTCAAGTCAAGTCTGACAGTGGACAGCCCCGCTGCGAAGTGCTCAGGGCACGGGCGAGTTAGCGTTCGGCAGCGGGGTGTCTTTGCACCGCTCCGGGAAACACCTCAGGGAAGCCTTCATTTGGCTCGAGTCCCCGAAAACAGCTATTTTACAAATTTTCAACTGTAGAATCCGCAAGAAGGAAGTCTGGTTGTGGCTTGGTACGAGTCATGTTTGGAGGGATCTTCAACTTAAGGCTCCAGACGGTGCCTGCCATACAATTAGCCAGCTTGCGAGAATGGTAGCCTCATTGAATCGCCCAGACTTGAGCTGCTCCTTTAAGTGTGTGATTTTTACAAATCAGGCGAGGGATTGTAGCGTTGGCTTATTTCGGTAGCTTTGAGGTGATTTAGTGAGGTGAAAGCATGGCTTGAAGGAACCCGAATGCATAGTGTAAGTATTTGATCTACGCAAGCGTTCGCTTCTAAGGCACAGAGTAAAAGAGGAACTAGTGCTACAGAGTCATACCCTAAACTGCTGCCAGGCGACACGCGGCGTAGTTGTAGTCCGAGTACCAAATGGACTGCGCAGGGGACTGAATATATTTATAGCACACTTGTTCCACTTGAAAGCTTCCTATTGTTCCTTTCAGTGATTTCACGCCACATACCAGAATAGTTGATGCATAAGGTTCCGACATGAGGGCTCATGCACTCGTGGCACATTATCGGTGGGTAATCTCACAAATGAGTGGTTGCGTAACTAGTGGGGGCCATCTTGTTCGGTAGCTGCACCAAATCTCCGACTAATATCTGTAATGCGCAGTGTCCAAACTGTACACTGGAAAGGGCTACTACAGTACGGAGGCAGTGAAGGCACTGCATAGACAAAGATACTTGAGCTCTTTAAAAATGAACTTTCGGTTGCATAGCCTTGCCCGGTCCACGTTGTTGCTCAGTTGGTGGTACCACAACCCTTTTGCAAATCCCACGATGTTGCCAGCTCTCGTCATTGTGATTCCCTCACAGTGATCTTGCATGAAGGCGAGGGACATTCCGGAATGAGCGCGTGCTTCCACTGTTGGCTTTGCCTACTGAGTAGCTGTAGTACTTGCAGCGCTAAGGGGCGTACAATTCCTGCAGTTCCTTATCTAAATCAATACTTCCGATATGCGAAGGCCGCTTTGTGGCAGTAGGTTGCCTCTTTCTATGTCTCTCCTCTCTCCGACTTCCTCTTCGCCTCCCTGTTCTCAAAGATGCCATCACTTCCCCTTTTCCGGAGGCCGCCGAAGTTTTCATGACCAGTTTTATCAATGCATGCCATACATATCTGTTTTTCATGTTGTATAGCACTTGCATGCATGCTTTCAAGGTTCTTCTTTATTGAATATAAGGAAACCAGTAGTTCAGGAATTCTACCGAAATGAAGCGAATATATGCACGACAAGCATCACTTTGAGCAATGAGCATATGCTGTTATATTGATAGCGTCAAGCCTACCTGAACTATATCGCATATCAACGCTTGGATAAAGTTAGTAATCTTCACATGCTTAGCAAACAAAGTGTGAAGGCTGGTCGGCTCCAAGCCGCACAGGGTCCATTCTAGTATCTACGCGCCCTCATTACCTAACCCAGCAAGAAAGTTAACTCGGCGCCCCGCGTCCTGCGTTCGACAAATCAACTACGCTGGCTTTCACCTGGATGGCTTGTCCAACAGCCTGTCTCAGGTGTTCTTCAACTCGAATGCCTTCCTTTCAGGAGTGTGTCTGTCTGGTGGTGTGAATCGTTTGTCATGGGCAAGAATGTTTAGGCTCGAAAACATCAAAAATCCCCTGTTCTATTTCGGTGTTCAGTGAAGTCATGCCTAAAACTAAGTGTATTTTCATTTTACACGCCTTCATTCCATTACTCTCTCCATCTGTAAACGCAGAATTAGGGCTCTTTTATTCTTAGTAAGTCCCAAATTCCAAAGTCTAAACTATAGGCGGTACATTCTATACCAAAAAATCTGACACACCCCCACCAAAGACGCTGAACCTTACACCTTGAACTATCTGTAGTTTGTTGAGTCGAGAGGTTCAACTTTGCACTAAAGACAGAGATGGCATCTGAAGAAAGCATTCAATGAAGGGTGCCCGCATGAGAAAACATGCAATACAGTCACCATGCGTGCAGGCACCAACGCACCTGCGACCAGAAGGCCCCAGCCCTTGTTACGGCTCCAGTGCCACGCCAACTTTCAGCAGCCCAAGCCCTAACGGCAGCACTGTAGTGAAGTGAAGTCGCACCTAAGTAATTCACAGTGAAGAAGCTGACCACTTTCTCTATGCAGCTCAGTGAGATGCTCATGGTGTCGAGACGAAGCATGCTGGTTTGTGGAGCTGGTCCAAAGTGCAGCTCTGTCGAAAAACGGAATACCAAACCGAACTGCGCGTTCTTCATGATCTGCAGTATTTGAGTGCTAGTTTATTTCTCAGAGCTATGCTTGAAGAGAGCTTTCTCTAGTTCTTACTCCCCTCACTTTCCTATCCTAAAGTCTTTGAAGTAATGTACCATGATGATGCTACAGTATAACGTCAATACCCCATATAATATGAATGCCCCTCAGTTGTTACGTTAAGCGGCCGAGACAAGCTTTCTCTGATCCTCAAACTAATTCGTACTCAGCGACGTGAGCTTAATATGGTTGTGTTCTAAAACTGAGAATTTGAAAGAGTTGTCACAGGTCTTTGCAGCTTGCCTTGCGCAAGCGGTCAGTGCTCGCTCACAGAGCCTCTCCATCCCCTATAAAGCACAAAAATTTGACAAAGCTTAGCGAACCCATTGCTTAAGTCGCAAGACTAACTACGTGAAGGTGCACAGGCATGCTGCCGTGAGCTGCACATGCCTTTTTAGCAGTGTCTCAAAATCCATCGGAATCATATGTTCTGCAGGTCGTGCCAGTAAGCGCAGAATATGCACTTATGAGAAGTTCAAGCTTGATGTATCGTTGACACTTGATACTTTACAAGAACATCGAGTCCTCAAGCCCCAGAGCTAGCCACTGGCTTCAGTATCGGTACACTCTCCATCATAGCGATCTCACATGTATCCCGAAGGTGCAGACCCGTTAGAGGGGTTAAAAAAAGAGAGAGGTAGTGATTAATTTTACAAAATGGTGGAGGCTTGTGTGTGACTGTACACAGCACGTCGCTTTCCTGCAGACGTGGATGGAAGCCGTTGGGTTGCATCATTAAAGGTCACTCTTTGTAAAGTCTGGTCACGTTACTGTAAGAAGTCTCACCAAGGGCACGCTTATCTTAAGACCAAAAGCACAGAATCAAATGCTACCCATAAGCTCAATACATTCCATTCATGCATTGAAAATCGCAAGGAATGATTTCGTAGCCATCTGTTCAAATTGTAGGAAGGCTAGCGGCGAACAAGCCAGCGCAGCGGGCGACACATCTCATGTGATGTTTCTCCGGCTGGTGTTTGTTTAAATGGAAAAACTATCTTTAAATCAAGTTTTTTGCTGTTGCTTTGAAAGAACGGGGTGGTGTGTAGCATCGTCCAATGGACTGGCCCATCGAGTACTTACTGCTTCCAGCCGACAAACTCGTCATGCTTGCGAAACAGGTTTTCCACGGCAGTGTTCCCTTTCGAGAATTCTTTTGAATGTTTCGTCCCCCAATACTAACGCTTTTTTGCGCATAGTTCGCTTAGCATGAGGGACAGTCGGAGTTTTCCCGAGACGCAGCCGAGCGAGTTGGAAGGATGCACGTGTGCAACGCTGTGCTGGAGCCCAATCTTAATGACGCTCATGTTATTTTTTATGGGAATTTGCTGTATATTTTTTATGAGTACTGGCGGACTCGTCTTAGGTGTTATTTCTTGCACTGTTGGCTGTGCTCTTGGATTTCTCCCTTTCACCCTCGTCAAAACACAGCGAAGGCTCTGGGGAGTCTTGTCCGTCATCAGTTTAACTACCTTGATGGTCCTACTCGTTGCTACCTTTGGGTATGGACTTTGGCTGTTGCTGCAGAACCTGTGGGCACAGAGTGACATGAATACAGGCTACAGCAGCCCCTTGCTTGTTACTTGCCTTGACGCGTATGTTCAAAAAGCAGGCCAGACCTATCAAGCTTCTATTCCAACCCCTCAAGACTCGATGGATTCTAATGCTATCAAAACACCCAGTGGACGGGTGTCAGATGCCAATGACCTGGTGGGAACTGACGGCGTATCTTCCTCCACAACAACCGAGGCAACAACTACTCTCACGAGTACCCAGATGCCTGAAGAGGAGAAGCGCACTAATGGGCAGCCAGGTAATTCCAGTACAGAAGCTGAAGAGGAAGCACCACACCAGAGCGCAGCAGAAACTCCTGAAAACATTTCGGAGCCACAGGACGGTGAAGCGCAGACAACGCCGTCCGGAAACATCATGAAGTCGTTTATTGATGTAGCGAGAAAGAAAATAGAAAGCGTTTTTCAAGGTGAACAATCTCCCTTCTACCCAACTCTTCTACGCCAGTCGTGGACTGGTATGGAAAACATTTTGGTCACCTCAAGTGATCTGGAGTGCGTGCACGGGATGGCAACATCGACAGAAGCTTTGGTAACGGCTGAAAACTTCTTTCGAACTTCCGTCGATTGGGGTTTATTCTGTGGGTTCACACAATATACCTTTTCCGTGGTTCGCAAGTGGCCAATGAGCTGTACAGACGACTGTAACTTCGGAAAACTGCATTTGAGCAAGTACCGGTCGAATGAAGACCAGGCCAAGGAACACGTTGAGGAATTCATAGAGGACCTGGAAGAAATGACGCCGGAGCAAGTTCAAGGCTGCATACTTCTGGCGACTGTGACAACCTGTAGAATACAACAAAAGAATCTTGACTCTATAGCCATCTCTGCGATGTGCATATCGCTTATATTCGCGGTTCTCATTTTTTTTGCTGCAGTAAAATGCCTTGTAGACTGCAGCAAATTTGTTGGGAAGCATGACAAGGGAAGCCGTGGAGAAACTGTCCAGCTTGCCAATAGACGTCGCTAATTTCATACTAGGTGTTTGCTATAAGCAAGACCTCTTAGCAGAGCTTGGGACGCTGGAGGGATAATTTGAAGAGCTTTAACGGCGATAACATGCCTACATATTTCTTTTAGATCCTTGTTCTTCACGCATAGAGGGAATCAAGACATTACAGACCGTTTTCGGTTCCCGCAATTTTTGGTGACACTTAGTAAGCTTGATTGTCGAGTAATTTTATAGAATTATCAAATTTCACAAGCATGCATATACATAGCCCTTCATAAACTGTATCAACACGTTCTTATGCACACGGACTTTTTGCTAGAGCAGCCTCATTTGCTGCCAACGTTGTCACTCGGCAGTAAATGAAGCACAAGCACGCGTAAGACGAATGCGAATCGGAGGGTTCTTGAGTCTGCTTTCTCATGATGGCTTCTGTACAACAATTTTTCGGTCGCTAGATTATCTTCGCAGCAAGCATATTGGACTGATTAATTTAGCAACAAGACCACGAGTTGACATCTGCAGTGTTGCTTCAAAGTGGACCATGATTGCTCCTACTTTCGCCCAGTCGTGGCCACTTGCGTATGATTTACGAGTTTTGGTGGGCTGTGGAGCAGTTCGTCTTCGTCTACTACGCTTCTGATGCACTGATCGAGTACGCTTCTTCCTTGCCGCCAGATTTTGCAAGATCCCAAACAAGTGTCTTAGAAATGTGTAAAATAAATAGAGAAACATACTTCGATGCAAGCAACGAACACAACGGCAATCTGCGTCGTTCCCAGGATCCGCTCTTGGGGTAGTGGCGCTTCCGTGATTGTAGCCGATGCGGTGCAGCTTGCTTACTTTACAGTACTTCCACACATGTGGTAGGCGTCTGACAGAATATGTTCTTCCTCCAAGGCTCTACAGCTAAGACACGGCCTTTATAAGGCTGATAGCACAGAAATGTAGCAGCTACAGGCCTCTTGTGTCAACATTAAGTGCCTCCTGAAGACGAGCATATTGAATAGTTGGCGCGAATATGACCAGGTGATGCAGGTATAAGCCAAACTAAGGTCAATCGCCTTGAAGGCTCTTGACGATGTCAGACTGGCTTGATTCCGTGAGATTCTGCCCTATTCAGTGTTTTCCAAAGAACATGCACAAAAATTATGTTTGTATTTGGGCATTCCCGGGAGGTGGAGGGGACAGGCGTTGTAGGGTTTCAGTGTTTGTTGCTTGCTCCTCTGCCGACAGTGCTTCGGTCGAAGGTCGTCGTCGCAGCAAGAATATTGCGCTGATTAATTTGGCAACAAACTCACGGTATGGGATTCGTTGCACTCCTTCAAAAAAAGCCTGAATGGTTGCATATTCGACCAATCATGGCTTCTCAACTATAATTTACGAGTTTTAGCGGTCTTTGGACCAATTCGCCAACGAGCCACTACGCGCCTGCTGTGCTATTCGAGCGCTCTTCTTCTTTGCCTCCAACTTCTGCAGAAGATCCCAAACAGGCTCCTTAAAAATACACAAAACAAATAGAAAAACATATTGCGATTCGAACAACAAACATAGGGGTAGTCCGCGTCGTTCCCAGGATCCGTTACTGGGACAGTAGGAGGAGGTGACGCTCCCGTGATCCTAGCCACTGCAATACAGCTTGCAGCTGGGAGATCATCCAACTGGTTGTTGTCTTCCTAAAAACTGAGCAGATAGATCCTACTTTTCAGCAGTCGAGTGGGCCAATTCCCCTTCCGAAGGTTCCGTGCACACATCGATTGGCAGCACACAGGTGGAGCCGGAGCAAGACATGCGCAAACGCTGCCTATTTGAGCACATGCCCTACTGTTTTTCGCTATAATTTAGTTATTTTAATTCTCATGAAAGGTGTGAAGGCATTTACGCTGCCTGGATGAATGGGCCTGAGGAACAGGGGTGCGTGTTCTTGCGCTGTTACTGCGTCTGTTCCTCGAGCCCTCATGGTCTTGAGGAAATTCCAAGACTCAACTCAGCTCCACAATGTCACTGCGCCTGGCACATTCTCACAGCTTTCGGCCAGACTATCATGGCACCAACTGTGCGTATCTGTGTTGGATGCCTATAGTTATGGGCTTTCTGTCTCTCAGCGTTGGCATCTGTTGTCTGTTTTTTATGTCTACTAGCGGCATCATTCATTGCCTCCTCAATTGCGCGCTTGGTTCCTTATTCAGCTATTTGACGTATGCAACACATACGCAACCAAAGCGGTGGAAGGCCAGAATCGCCATCGTAGGTAACGTGCTCCACATATTGTTGCTGATTTCCACCATCGTACAGGGATCCCTTCTACTCAGGGCAAATGTCGAGGCGGGTGCAGATAACAATGAAGTACATACGTCGTCCACTTTCAGCTCCATACTGGATTATTATTTTGAATATGCAGAGTTTGATGAGCAAAGCTCTGTAGCATTACGTTTTCGCACTTCGCTGCATGAAAACGCCAGTATTTCTTCTATGCCCTTCGTCTCGAAAGAGAAAGCGCGGGCATCAAGGAGTGGCAACGAGCCAGGAAGCACAATAAATGCAAACGGCGAGAGATTCACATCCATTATTGCCAGTTTGAGCAGCATTTCACAAGATGTGAGTGGGGCAAGGAGGAAAGGCGACGGGCATATACGGGCAAAAGCCAACAGCAAGACGCCGGCAGACCTAGGTGAAGAGCAAAGCCAAAGCACTCCAAAAATCGGCGTAAGCAGTGCTATTGCACAGTGGGGCCGGAGCAAGAATCTTCCTCCTTCCTACAATTTCTCCAATGAAGACCGTGCTTGTGCCACCAAGGCAGTAGCCAATGAAGCGTTTGGAGAAAGTGTATTCAAGCGACTGCGCTCGCTGCTGTACTGGGGTTTGTTTTGCGGATATTCTGCGCGAAATATAATTCTGCCCCGGCAGTGGTTGCTCAGCTGTGAAGAAGAATGCCATTTTAAAATGCTGAATTTCAGCAGATTCGAGCACGACAGCCAGAAACAAACTGAGCAAGCAATGAAGTTCGTGAAGGCCCTCCAGGGTATGACCAAAGCGGAAGCTCGATTCTGTATAGCCACCGCGACGGTTGCCGCCTGTAGAATCGAAGAAATGTATCTGCACCATGGAGTTGCAGCCGCCCTCTGTGCTGCCTTGCCCCTCAGCTTTGTGCTTGCTATTTTTTGCATTACTTGCATCGTAGCATGCTATCGAAAGGCAACAAACGCGCCAAAGGTGCAGCGTACCTGACTCTTTTGCTGTGCTCTCAAAACGTCGCTATGCGTGTTTGTGCCTGGTTTTGTCGCTGGCTGGGATTGCTTCATATGTTTGCTATCTGTTGCTTCTCCCCAAATGCTTCCAGGTGCTACGAAAGCTCAGCGGCTTTCTATTCGTAGGCATCCACTGGTTGGCAAAGATACAATGCAGTCTGTTGCTGACGACGGTAGCCCGCTGAATGATGATGATATGTGCCCTCAGCTGCAGCATGCGTAACCTTCCTATTCAAATTTCATAGTAGTTGCCCGTATCTTTTGCTTTTTGAACTTTTCGGGGTGTTCCCTTTACGCCTTATAAGCGTGAACTCCCTAGTCTTTTCCAAATTTGAGACCAGCTGTCACTCTTCAGCGTGAGGCCCTTTACACCAACATCTTGCCCGTGGTTGCTAGTTGGGTAACAGTTCAGCACCTTTTCGCTTGACTGTATTGAGTGTATTCAATATGGATCCTGAAGAAGCTGCTTTGGCTGGCCTGAAGAAGTACAGAGAGTGCTGTAAAGTGGATCTCCTGTGTCCTGCTGCTCGCCTTTGTTCGCTGGAATAGTGTCTCAGTCACAAGCAGGCCAGCTGCAGCTGAAATTGACAAGCATTAGTTCATACAAACTGCAGAAAGCATTTCTGTTGCTTCTGCGCAGAACAGGACCCCTGGGACTTCTATTTTGCATGACGTCGGAGACTTCAGAGGCATTTTATAGCAATGTTTACCTTGTAGGCTTTTCGCACAGCTTTGTGGTGCCTACTACAGGACTTTTATTTTTGATATTTTGCTGGCATGCTCATCTCCACCATGCTTTGTGTTTAGATTTGCTTCGGAAAATAACATCATCTACACCATCCCTCTCCGATCCTCTGCCCGTTCCCTTGTCGCTGGAGAGCCCACAACCCACACTAATTTACTTGCTGTCCTGTTCTCGTGTTCTTGCTGGATACGTCTGTGCGCTTCCTGCGCGCATTGAGCTACTGCTAGACAGTGAGAAAACTTCCGAGAACAGGTGGGAGGCATGCAAACTTCCAGAATGTGCTTTGCAGAGGGACATGACATAAGTGGGCAATT